AATTGGGCTTAATAAGCGGCTGGGCTTATTAACCGTGGGTTTAATAACCGGCAACTACAGTAGAATGCAGTAAAACAACACTGCTTGGTATTTTTCCTGATATATTTAATTTTTGTATCAGACACAGTTAACTCACGTGACCCAGTGGCGAAAAGCTCGACGGCCTCAGTGGGATTCGAACCAACGCTAACAAGAGAAAGACTTAAGTACAGTCAATTCGGCTACGAGGCCCCATCGGGAGCCTTGAGGCTGGGCGGGCAACTACACCCGAACGCGATTAAACTCATGACTCCCGGTGGGGGTCTTGTAGGTCAGCTGGCTGGAGCATTAGCTGGCACGCGTTCGAATCCCACCGAGACCAAACGAGTTTTTCCCAAATTGGTCCAATGAATCATTCAAATCTGTCATAACCCCCCTACTAAGCAAATATTATTATTATCTCTTTACTTGAATGAGCCTAATGTGCTTTATTCGGAACTATTGTTATCCAACAAAAGGACGGTATTTGAAAGGAATTACAACATGCACTTTGTCGACCGAATTTTTCAAGGACTTCCGTGATCTACAAAATAATTATATAGGTAAACATCCTTTCGGCATTGTAACGATCTCTGCCTAGCCGATCTACGCACAGGCACTTCTTGCCAAAACAATGTTACGCTTCGACATTGTGTTTCACCCCCATCCCAATATGAGGCCAGTCTTGCATTTTTAATAAGGTCCGTGCCCAGCAGTTTCTTTGTGATTAATCTTTTCGCCAAGCAGCGATTCTGCTAACATTTGTTAATCGACAGAGGTGTTAGGTATTTTCGGGTGTCTGTGGTCTATACGACTTTGCCTAGAAGTATAAAATGACAACCAGCCAGAGGTTGATGAAGCCCGTGTTTGCACAAATACTGCTGTAGAAGACAGACGGGTTGGAATTGTCGAACATAGACAAGGAACGGAGACTAAAACAATCGAAACAAGAATTTCGTTAGACATTTCTCGCGAGGGCGACAGCCTTTTTTCAGGCGTGATGACCTCCCTCCTCGCATTCAGTGCTAAGACTTTCTGGACACTTGACTCCACCATGCCTGGAGCGTAAACACCAGACAGTACTTCCGGTGGCAGTATTGGCGAGCCAAATGGCTGAGTAATTATCGCGCCAATAGCCGCCACTGCTGATAAGATTGCGGCATTAACTGCGTAGACGCGGACGACCAAGTGATTATCGCACTAGCCCATCCGATGATCGCGGGAGCTGCCAATCGTAGTAGATCTAGGATTGCATAATAATTGCATCCGACTGTCGATTCCGATGAGGTCTACTGTATGCTCCACAACGCGGTGGTGCAGAGACATTGGCTTATGTGTGGATTAGTTTTATGTGATAGTGAGCTTCTGGTACAGCTACCGCGGTATATCTTCCCTCACCCCACTGCGTCTGATGTCAAGTCAGTGTCGAGAACGTCAGAGACGGGATCAGACTGGCGCCCCCGGAGCCGCCACGATTGATTAAGATCCAAATAGGCGAGAGTACCATCGCGACAGGACAGAAGAACAAAAAGCATCCTTAATGCAGGTAACTTTGCGATAACTTTCGCGGGATTTAGCGTTGGGGTTAAGGTAAGGTTAGGACCCGGAAGTGTTTACTTTTCGTGGAGTTTAGTGCACGGCCGTCCATATTACGTGGAGTCATTCCTATTTCTAACGAGATAGAGCATATGAGTATTTCCCACCCTAAGAAGTTTCTATTTCCCTGTCCAAACTTGCGTCCCTTGTATGTTCATCCGTCTTACCTGCAGTCTTCTCTAATGATGAGTCGAAAAAGTATCCACAAAGTCCGACGAATAAAACGGTTGTTTCAGCGACCGAGGTTCTACCTCAGTTGTTGACCAAATTTCTCCCTTTTACTTTTATTGACAGTCTCGGTTATTTTTTGTTGATGGGGGCGGACCCTTGGGGGTCTCAAACGTATAAAATTATTTCGCCGTTTGAAAATGCAGTCTTATTGCAAAGTCTTCGTCTGAATTTTGGGCATTTTCACTTGTCGCTTTTTGTTTTTTGTTTGCAACTGGTTCACAGAGCGCATAATCTCCTACGAGCACCTTGTCAGCTGACTTTGTTCCTGTTTTAAAACAACATCACCCAGCGTTCGTGGTTTCTCCTACTCATTATCTGCCCTCTTCTTTCTTTAATGACAGAGTCCTAACCAGTTTCCCTGGTTGGAACCACCACGCAAGGCTTCGGTGCAGTCGGGCCTGGAGCTGTTGAAGCGACTGGGCGCCCTTTCAGTCAACCCGCCCGAGTCTGCCGCTGAAACTGCAGGCATCAGCAGTTGTAACGGGATCAACGGCAATGTCTCTGAACATGGTGAACAGATTACTCGTCCCCTTAAGGTACTCGAAGACCTCAGTTTATTCCTGTTTCTTGCAAACGTGTTGGATAATCTCCTTTCTGTGTTTTTCAGCTTTTTAACCTCCTTTTCCAAATAGCCCTTTGGAATCAATGGTTTCTTTGTCAATCGGTTCTTTGACGTTCATTATGGCCCTTCTAACATGTGGTTACACGCTTCTAATCTGGCTATTCTCAATATATGTTAGCGGGCTATACATCCGCAGTGCATTTTTCAGTAAGCTCGAATACAGTCGTTTATTCAAACAACGGCTCCTACTCATGGCGTTTAAGTAGCTAGAATTGTATAGCGTTGAACGCTAGAGACATACTTCCGCTAAATGGCGAGGTTTTTGGGTTTGCGAAGCGGAACGAATGCAATTGT